AATCCAGCGCTTTGGGAGGCCGAGGTGAGTGGATTGCCTGAGACCCACCTGGGCAACTTGGTGAGACCTCATCTCCACAACAAATCAAAAAATTAGCCGGGTGTGGTAGCGCTCGCCTGTAGTACCAGCTACTTGGAAGGCTGAGGCGGAAGGATCGCCGGAGCCCAGCAGGTCGAGGCAGCGGTGGCCAGGAGCATGCCATTGCTTTCCAGCCTGGGTGACAGAGTGAGACTCCGACTCAAAAAATATATATATTTCATTATCCCTTGGCCACAAAGGCATTCTGGTTTTTTTCTCTAAAATTTATGGTTTCACATTGATATTCAAGTCTTTAATACATCTAGAATTGGTTATTATGGTGGGAGGTTGGGATTCTTTTTTTTCTCATGGATTTCAAATTGTCTATTTGTTGAGAAACTGGTTATTTTGTCATGAGTCAAGGGTCCATTAATGTAAAGGTCTGTATCTACTAAGTTTTTTGTTGTTTTTTGGGGGGTGTCAGAGGGTTTTTGTTGGTGGTGGTAGTGGTTGTTTTCTTTTTTTTTTTTTTTTGAGACAGGGTTTCACTCTGATGCAGGCTGGAGTGCAGAGACATGGCCATGGTTCACTTCGGCCTCCAATCCCTGGGCTTAAGCAATCCTCTTGCCTCGGACTCCCCAGTAGCTGGGACTGCAGGCAGGCACACTCCACTAATTTTTCTATTTTTTTTTTTATAAAGTTGAGGTCTTGCTTCGTTGCCCAGGCTGGTCTTGAACTCCTGGGCTCAAGTGATCCTCGCACCTCGGCCTCCCAAAGGGCTGAGATGACAGGCAAGAGCCACCGCTCCTGGCACAACAAAGTCCTTATTTTTGAGTTCTTGGTCTCCTGCCACCCTTCGCCTCTGTCCCTCTGCCGCCCCCAGGTGGCCGTCCCGTCCCCCACCTGTTCTCTGCTGGAACAGCCAGTTCTCTGACCCGGTCTCATTTAGCAAATGCTCCAATCGGCTTAGGTCAGGCCAGCCTCAGCAAAACATAGGGAGAATTAGTGGGGATTTGGAGGAACATGTGACAGGCTGTGGCTGGAGGTGGGGACAGGCTGCTAGGATGTAATGGAAAAAAAAAACCCTCCTGCTTATCGGAGACCCTGAGAGAAAAATACACAAAAAAACACACTGACACCCCACATGGAGGCCAAGGGGCAGAGAGCGAAAGAGAGGGCGGTACAGAGGAAGGGGAAACTGAGGCACAGGAGTTTCTTGCCCTCAAAACGAGGACAGGCAGGGCCCCCCCCAGCATGTGTCACTTCCCATGTGACAGCAGCTGTCCTACGTGCTCTAATATCCTTACAAAAGGTCCTTTGAGGCTAGCAGCCTCTAATCCCTCTGCCTTTGGGGTGTGACACCAAACATCAGCATGGTTAAGTGCCTTTCCGAGTAGACAACAAACGTCCAGGCTGGGCATGAACCAGGTCGCCCAGCTGGAGAGCCTAGCCTGCAGCCACCCCCCCCCCCCCCCCCCCGACCTGTCAAGCTGTGCCAAGCTTCTCTGGTTCTTGGACTCTCTGGGGAAGGATGGGTGGGCATCTGGGCATCCGGGAGGCTCTGGGGAACAGTCGCACATTCCATGCGTGTGGGGTGTCAACTGCTCAGAGCCGTGTCATTTCCACGCTCAGCACTGAGCCTGGCTCACAGGAAGCTCTGAATAAAGGGGTTATCTTACTATTCTGTTTTGTTTTGTTTTGTTTTGTTTTGAGTCGGGATCTCACTCTGTCACCCAGGCTGGAGTGCAGGGGCACGCTCACGGCCACCACAGCCTCGACCTGCTGAGCTCAGGCGATCTTCCTGCCTAAGCCTTCCAATTAGCTGGAACCACAGGCGCACGCCACCATCCCTGGCTAACTTATTTTTATTTTTTTTCCTAGCGATGGAGTCTCGCTATGCTGCCCAGGCTGGTCTCGAATTCCTGAACTCAAGTGATCCTCCCACCTCGGCCTCCCAAAGTGCTGGGATGACCAGCATGAGCCGCTGCACCCAGCTATTCTGCCATCTAGACCACACCCTCCTCCCAGGCCTCCTTCTCTCCTCTGCCTCACCTCCCACCTCTCTGGCCCGCACAGACACACACTCCTCCTCCTCACTCCTTCCCTGGCCTCTCTCCCTCCCTCCAGTCCCTGGGCCTCTCCCTAGCAGGTTTCCCTGGCCTTGACCTAGTCTAACTCACCACCTGGCCCAATCCTCTTAGAGCTGGGCCAGGCCAGCGTCTGCAGAATCTCAGCTGGGTCAGAGAAGAGTTGAAGGGGACACGGGACATCTTGGCAGATGATGTCAAAGCCTTTCTCGAGCCCCTGCTGGCATCTTCTCACACCTCCCTCGTGACTGCGAAAACTCAGCTATGGCCACAGGGGCCGCCGGGGTCTCTCCGATCCCTTCCCCTGCCTGAACCCCAGGAAGAGGCTCTCAGGCTGACCAGAAGACATATCAAAAGCTCCTGTCTCTGATGTGTCCTCAGTGACTTGGGCATCGGGCAGAACAGCACATGGTGGATGTTCACAGACCCCTTGGTAGTCTCTGGATATTTCACGGAAAAGTGTCCGTCTCTTTTCTCTTTTGGCTGCACTCAGCTCAGGGAATGAGGGCGGGGTGGACATTTATTTTTAGTACTGTGTCCATTCACTTTTATGTATTTGGAACTTCATGCCATCCTAGTACTTTTTTTTTTTTTTTTTTTTTTTTTTTGGTTGGGGT